AGTTATATAGTTATTGCTGTGATCTTAATATGATAAAAGACTACTTCTTCCTATCAGCTTTATGCATATATACTGTCTACAGTCATTACCTCAGCAAATTGCATGTCTTCTTCATTTTTCTTCTCTGTTTCCGGAAGTAGTGGTAAAGCATAAGAAAACGCTACACAAAGTAAGATCTGGAATGAAAGACTCTTCATTTTCAAGATCACTTCTTTTTCCCGTCACTAGTTTAACAAAATCTCTCAGTCTCTATCTTTTCTATGCATGTCTCCTCAGTGTCCCGGTATATATATCACTTGAGTGCTCTGTAAAATCAACAGTGACATGACTCACAGTTTATAACATCCTCTGATTTTCCACAAAACATACACAATGCTACTTTTAGGAGAAGTATGACACACTACAGGTGACCTCGTCTGAAACCCCCTGATTTTGCAATATTGTCAGAGGATGTCCAGGATATCTTCCTATTCCTTTCCATCCCATTTTTCCCCCTTTCCATCCTAAATTAGTCCAACATTTTCAAACTTGAGTTCAGCACCAAAAGTCGTATCTAGGCATCTGCATAAAAGTTGTCTGAGTTTTCAGAGGTGCTAAAGGGTAGCTGTGTGAGAAAAAACATGTTAGCAAATGTTGTCTTAATCTAGTAAATTGTTCCAATTTGTTGTCAGTAGTTGTCTTGTTTTATAAGCTAAAATTGTAATATGAAATTGTTTTGCTTTAAAATCATTTTATTTTTGCTCCAAGTCTAAGCTGCTTGTTAAAAGATTGTTTAACTGTTCACTTTGCTGTTCTCTTTAATTGCTCATTAGAAAATTGTTTAGCCATTCTTTGTATGAGTGAGAATGCAAGTGTGTGAGTAAATAAGAAGAGAAGCCAACAACGGATGTGATGATCACCAAAGGGGAAGTGAAGAAACAAAGATGCCAGTATTATCTTGTCCCGAGGGCCAAAGAGTGCACATTAACAACCCTAAAGTACAAAGGTATCCGCCCAAAAACAAGAACAAAATTCCAGATAAGAAGATAAAAGATGGTTATGTATACAACCAGATCTGTGATAAACAATGCAAGTATGACACAGCAAGACCCATAGACTTGCATGAGAACTAACTACTATAAAAGATGGGCGAGAACAACAGAGCTTTGGGTTCATTCAAGAACGGAGCATTTGAACTTAAACTACAGCAAGGGAGGTTTAGGTTGGACATTAGGAAAAAGTTCCTAACTGTCAGGGTGGTTAAACACTGGAATAAATTGCCTAGGGAGGTTGTGTATCTCCATCTCTGGAGATATTTAAGAGTAGGTTAGATAAATGTCTATCAGGGATGGTCTAGACAGTATTTGGTCCTGCCATGAGGGCAGGGGACTGGACTCGATGACCTCTCGAGGTCCCTGCCAGTCCTAGAATCTATGAATCTATGAACTTGAGGCCTCACATTCAAAAATGCCAAACTTGTTTTTCAGATCAAATTTCCACTCCGACCCTCTCCTTCCCAAACCATGTTTGTGCACAAACCAACTATGGGAAATGTCAGCTTCCAAAAGTGAATGTTTCAGAAAGATGCAAGCAACTAATGACAGGACTAAAATGGAAATAGTTGTGCAACGTTAACTCTGGCACATCATGATTAGCACCCCACTATAAATAATTATATCCCCTCTGCAAGGACCAAGCATATCTATTAATGGGTGTTGCCACAATAGGTCCTGGGGAAGGTATGAGTATCCATATCATAATCTTTTCCCAGTTTGATTGCTAATCCATGGGCCATACCATAGGACTTTATGAGGGAGGGTAGGACTTTGACCTCACTTTCTTCCTGCCTCTCCACAATGCTTGAAATGCTGTATCTCATTCAATGGCATTTGACACATGGGACCATAATATTCTTATCTGTAAACTTCGGTCCCTAGGATTGGCAACTGAGCATGTTAGTAACTAAAAAATTACAGACCAGAATGTGCCTGGCTCTTGCCCAAGGCTCTCAGAAGGGTGAGGTAGGCTAATGAACAAGTCCAGTTGCTATGCTCTGCAGACTGAAGCTTACAGATAATGATTTTATGGTTCTGCATATCAGATGTGATGAACTGAGAATCGGCATGACTGTGAAGGCCCAGATATGCAAGCCAGGTCAAACTGACAGCCACAGAGGTGAGTTCTGCAGGTTGTCAGAGAACAGTTCACACATTTCTAAGTAATGGCACAGGAACCATGCCCAGGGTATCCAGGAGACATTGTGACTCAAATCGTCCCTCTGAGGCAGTGGTTTTCAAACTTCTTTTCTAGCGACTCAGTTGAAGAAAATTGTTGATGCCTGCAACCCAATGGATCTGGGGCTGAGGGGTTTGGGGTGTGGGAGGGGATCAGGCCTGGGGCAGAGGGTTGGGGTACAGGGGTGAGGGCTGCGAGGTCGGACCGAGAATGAGGGGTTCAGGCTGTGGGAGGGGGATCTGGGCAAGGGATTGGGGTGCAGGAGGGGTCAGGGCTCTGGGCTGGGGGTGCAGGCTCTGGGGTGGGGCCAGGGATGTGGAGTTTGGGGTGCAGGAGGGGACTTCAGGTTTGGGGGGACTCAGAGCTGGGGCAGGGGTTTGGGCCACCATGACCTAGTCCCTTCCATTCTGTGACCCAGTACTGAGTCGCGACCCACAGTTTGAAAACCCCTGCTCTGAGGCACAGGTCCTTCTTTACTTCCCCATTACTCTGGGGATAGACAGGGAGAGATAAGTAATCTGCTACTGGCCTATACCAGTAGCACCATTACAATCAACTGCATTGCCTGATGCATGTGTCTTCGGGGGAGGAGACCAGGAGCCACCCTCCTGCTCCAGATGGGAGATGTACAGAGTTTAAAACATATATTTGTATAATACAGAAGTGAAAAAGCAGAAATCCCTACAGCATCAGTGGCAGGCTCTCAGGAAACAGTGCCCACTTCTACAGAAGGGACTTTCAGCGATCTAGCTTAGTTACTTACATTCATCACTAGAGTGACTGAGCACCTCACAGTCCTTAATATATTCATCCTCACAGCACCCCTCTGAGGTAGAGAAGTGCTATTATCCTAATTTTATAGACAGGGAACTGAAGCACAGAGAGGCTAGGTGACTTGCCCAAGGTCTGTAGCAGAGCTAGGAATTAAACCCGGGTCTCCTGAGTCTTCAGGCTAATGTCCTAACTGCTGGACCATCCTTCCAGTATTATGGATCACCACTAGTGCAACATATTTCTCCAGTCCAACTTATATGGTTATCTGAGGTCTCAAAATGTTGCTTTTAATTAAATTTCAACAGTACCAAAGTTTTCTGCAGATAATCAAAATCCCAGGGCTAGCTGGAAATTTTGTGATTTCTTAACTACAGATATTTGAAATACTACCCAGAAGTAGAATTTGGCACTTTGCCTCTCTGTGTTAGCTAGATCCTAGGGTGGAGGATAAAAGGGTGAAGAAAGGAGGGCAGGAGCCATAATAGATCCCTATATAACGGTGTCTTCCTGCCACGAAGGTGGACTATTGCCTTCTTCTGTATCTTCTTTGGAGCAAGGACTGTGCTTCCCTCCAAAGTATTTGAGGAATCCCTTTACCATTTCCAAAAGTGGAACTAGAGTGGGCATATGCTTTTGGTCTTTCCTATCCCCACTGGACATGGTGTGCATCTGTGTATACAATAAATTACAAATCATAGAATCATAGAATTGTGGGACTGGAAGGAATCTCAAGAGATCATCTAATCCAGTCCCTTGCACTCATGGCAGGACTAAGTATTATCTAGACCCTCCCTGACAGGTGTTTGTCTAACCTGTTTTTAAAAATCTCCAATGATGGAGATTCCACAACCTCCCTAGGTAATTTATCCCAGGGTGCTTAACCACCCTAACAGTTAGCAAGTCTTTCCTAATGTCCAATTTAAACATCCCTTGCTGCCATCTAAGCCAATTGCTTCTTGTCCTATCCTCAAAGGTTAAGGAGAACAATTCTTCTCCCTCGTAACAACCTTTTATGCACTTGAAAATTGTTATCATGTCCACTCTCAGTCTTCTGTTCTCCAGACTAAACAAACCCATTTTTTTCAATCTTCCTTCATAGGTCATGTTTTCTAGACCTTTAATCATTTTTATTGCTCTTCTGTGGAATTTCTTTTTCCTGAAATCTAGCACCCTGAACTGGACTCCAATTGAGGCCTAATCAACACAGAGTAGAGCAGAATTACTTCTCATCTCTTGCTTACAACACGCATAACACGTCCCAGAATGATGTTTGCTTTTTTTGCAACAGTGTTACACTGTTGACTCATAGTTAGCTTATAACCCACTATGATGCCCAGATCCCTTTCTGCAGTACTCCTTCCTAGCAGGAAGGCTGCCAGCTTTTCCACCACCCTAGGCGGCGGAAGATCCCACCCCAAAATGCCGCCCTTCCACAGAGGCAGTGAAAGGTCCCGCCCCAAAATGCCGCCCCGCTGCCGAAAAACCGCTGCGGTCGCCGCCCCCCAAATCGCAGCGCCCTAGGCGACCACTTCCCTGCTTCCTAGGCAGTCATTTCCCATTTTGTATGTGTGCAACTGCTTGCTTCTTTCTTAGTGGAGTACTTGGCATTTGTCCTTATTGAATTTCATCCTATTTAGTTCAGATCATTTATCCAGTTTGTCCAGATCATTTGGAATTTTAATCCTATCCTCCAAAGCACTTGCAACCCTTCCCAGCTTGCTCCAAAGAAGATACAGAAGAAGGCAATAGTCCACCTTCCTGGCAGGAAGACACCATTATATAGGGTAGAGGGAGACTATGTGTAGAGAGAGCTGTGAGACCTGGTGGGTTCCCCATAGGTTCCAATAAAAATTAAGATTGTCCCTATTCTTGTGGACACCTCAGTCATCTGCAGGGTCTTTGGAATCTGGCTGCATAATGGTAGGATGGGTCTGTCTCTCCAGGTGGGCAGCCAGAGTTTCTGGTCATTCAAAGCCTGTGTGATTTCATCCCATGCCCAGTAAGTAGTAACAGCACTAAAGCAATAGGAACCTGCTCTCATATAGGCCACCACCTCCTCTGACAGAGTGAAAAGACCTAGCTACTTCTTCCATCCTTAGGCCTGCCAAGGCCTTGATTCTTCAGCTT